TTTGCCAGTCTAGTGATGTGAGCTAACACTTAGTTTGTGCCACATAACAAGCACTATTCTAAGTGTTTTCTATGCACTGATTTATGTGATTCTCAAGTGCTACTATTATCTCCACTTTAGAGATAAGAGAATTAAAGCAGAGGACTAGTGACTTGCCCAGTGTTACTCGGTTCAGTGGGGAAAGGAGGATTTGAACCCAGGCACCCTGGTTCAAAATCCACTTTCACTTATGTTGCCTCTTGTATAATCACTTGTGTCTCTCTATACTTCTCATAACTCTAGACAGGTTTGCTATGGCTGTGAAATTTGTGTGTGCATGTGTGGTGAGTGTTTCCTGAAGAAGGTAGTTCTGTGTTGCAGCCTGGGACGTGAGGGGACCGGAATGCACAAGGCCTGGGGTGATGTAACCATGGGCCAGTGGAAAAGAATTCACCTTGGGATTAGAAGCCACTGTGTTCTCACTTATGGAGTTTTGGGAAATGTTACTCACCTCATTTGGTTATGAAAATTACATGTACTATGTATTTGAAAGGGCTTTATAAAGTGTAAAAGGCTCCATCAGGGTGGGTACCTAAGAATATAAAACATTGGCACAGTGACCTTTAAGGAATGCCAGATCTCAGAGATAACACAGCTACAGGACTTAGTGGTTTGCCTAAGATTTGGGGAGAATTCTCACTTTTCTATATCCTGCAGTTCAAGGGTTCATCCTCTTGGAGGGTGAAAGAGAGGCCTGAGGGCTTTCTTGCAATTTCGGATTTTCTGTGTCTTAGAGTTGCTTCAATCCCAGAACAACCTAATGTCTTGGAAATCACCCAGATCACAAGCAGGAAAGGGATTAAAGGATGAAGGGAAGTGGTGGTGGTGGTGGTGGTGATGTGTGTGTGTGTGTGTGTGTGTGTGTGTGTGTGTGTGTGTGTATGACTAAAGGCCAATGCAGTCCCCTTGTAGCCCCTCCAGGAGACAAAATCTTCAAGCAGCCCATTTATATATACCTCTGCTCTCATGGCTGGTAATACCTACAAAGAGTTACATGCATTCTTGGCTGGTTCCAGCTCCGATGCTTTAGTGAGTAGCACTCTGTCACCATGGTCTGTCTGCCTGAGAGTACCACTTGCAGTTCTGGTTGTGATCATACTTCAAGGAGGCACTAGTAGGCCATAGAAGTCAGAAAAAGTTTAGAGAGGTTGCCTTAGGGAGCCATAGTTTTAAAATGTCTCTTAGAGCTGGAAAAGGAGACTGTGGGTAAGTAGCATCAAAAGCCATTAAATTTTTTTGAAATAAAAATAAATGGCAGTTTATTTATTAGATTCTAGATTATTATTTCCCTGATGTACATGGCACAACTGACACTGATTAAGCTCATACCATGAATTAGCCATTGCAATAGGTCATACTGACATATTATCCTATTTCTCTTCACAACATCCCTGCAAGGGGGACATTATATCTTTGGCAGATAGGACTCAGAGAGGCTAAGTAACATGCCCAAGGTCATTGGCTAGTGAATGAGAGAAACCAAGAAATGAAGATGTGAAAAAATTTTAAAGTTCCTGCCCTTTCCACTACACCAAGTTGCCTCTTTTAAATCTCAAATGAGAAGATGTGGGTGGGCACTAAAGTTAAAAACTAGTTAAAGGAGGACCTTTTCAGCGAGTAGTAACACTGTGGATGGATATCATCACAGTTGTACATTAGTTTCAAAAGAAAGCTTATGTTGTATCAGGAACCAGCCCTCTTTCCTTTGGTAGAAGAGCCTTCTTAGAGCCCAGACCTACTCTACCAAGACACATTACAATCTGGTTTATTGTAACGGGGGAGATTTTATAAAAGTGGGCTGGTGTGATATGATGGCTCAATTTTATTGAGATTTAATAAATGAGATGCTAGTCCAATTCCATATGCTCTGCAAATTCTTCTCAATTTAGTCCCCTCCTATCATCATAATAGCTTTGACTTGAAAATGAACACCTATGGTCATCATTATAAAGTACAAATTGAAGCTGTAATGTTTTCCTTTTCAGTGTTCCTATCTCCTTCATAGGGAATTCTTGGTAGTGTACAATGTATGATATGCCAGTTAAGTTATTTAAATTTTAAATGCTTCTAGCCATTATAGATTTCCAGGCATCCATTATGATATTTTAAGTGTAGCTCTTTCCACTTCAAAGCAAGTGTCGTACCTTAAAGATCTCAAGTTACATACACTTTCGATATTAGACAGAGTAAACTAGGTACCATTCAACATAGGCTGTAAAGGAGGAAGACAAAGAAAGGTGCAGAATATAGTAGAGAGTATTCTAGAGAACTTAGCTGGGAAAATAGAGGTCACCAAGGAAGCTGTCATGTAAACAAAGAAGCCCTGTATGCTGCGATGGCAGACTCTGGGCATGGGTGCTTCTTCCCTCTCTCTTCCCAAGCTCTTGGCACAGACAGAGTTCACTGCTCAGCTGCATTCTTAGAAAGTGTCTCAAAACAGAGCTCACGCAACCGCCACCAACTGATTGGAGTTGACATTCTCCATCCAACCTCTTTGTTTTTTCCTGCCTTGAGGGAAGGATTGAATTATTTTATAAATCCCTTAGGATACAGAGGAAAAGAGAGAGGGCAGATTCAGAGTTTTCTGCTCTCTGATATAGATTGACTAAATGATGGTTGATTATAAAACATGTATAACAAAGTACTACTCTTTCCATTTTTTTATTAGCTCATAGCCAGCAAGGAAATTGATCTGAAAGGATTTTCCCAGAAGTGTCAGGAGTGCTTGCCTCTATGGGGTTATGAGTATTGTTTTTCTTATCTACTTTTGTTTGGCTATATTTTCTGATTTTCAGTAATGATTTAAATTGTTCTGTCACAGCAACAAAAAGAAAAAAAACCCGAGCTTAATGAAAGAAATAGTAATATATATATTTTTTGATAGGCTGTTTTACCTTTTTTGCTAGCACAAGCAGGCTAGAACAAGAATAACACTGAAAATACATTAGACACACAAAATGACAAGGTAGAACAGAATCCTCAATTTTGGAAAAGTTATTTTAAAAATGTAAACCATCATAAATAACTGTAAAAGAGCTTCATGGTTACCCATACTAAAAAAAGAGAATATTTGATGTCTTAAAATTGTTAACTACTGCATAGATACACAAAATAATATTTATAAGCACATGTTTAAGATGCAGACATATAAAAGCACAACAAATACCTGTGTACCCACCACCCAATTAATTTATGAAATAGAATATGATCATTAGCTCCAAAGCCCCATGTGCCTCTCCAGTCCCATTCACTTCCCACTCCCCTGAAGTAACTACTTTTCTGAATTTGGAGGTTTTATCCCTTTGCTTTTCTTTTAAGTTTTGTATCAGTAAACAATATATTGTTTAATTTGTACATTTTATACCTTAAACACATGAAATCATATTATGTATATTCTGCAACTTGCTAAGATTCATTCACGTTGTTGTTTTAACTGTAGTTCACTTTTGCAGTCGTGTAATTTTCCACTACATGAATATACCACAATTTATTTGTCCATTTTATTGTTGGTCACTTTATTATTTTTTAAAATAAATTTATTTATTTATTTTTGGCTGCATTGGGTCTTCGTTGCTGCACGCGGACTTACTCTAGTTGCAGTGAGCAGGGGCTACTCTTCATTGTGGTACACGGACTTCTCATTGCAGTGGCTTCTCTTGTTGCAGAACACGGGCTCTAGGCGCATGGGCTTCAGTAGTTGTGGCACATGGGCTCAGTAGTTGTGGCTCGCGGGCTCTAGAGCACAGGCTCAGTAGCTGTGGCACATGGGCTTAGTTGCTCCACGGCATGTGGGATCTTCCTGTACCAGGGCTCGAACCTGTGTCCCCTGTATTGGCAGGCGGATTCTTAGCCACTGAGCCACCAGGGAAGCCCCTGGTTGGTCACTTTTTATTTCTTTATTTCTTTTTGCTTTAACAAACAGGGCTGCTAAGAAGTTTTTCTAGCATGGGGACTGCTGTATCATAGGATATGTGTATCTTCAAAATTACTTGATAATGCCACATTATGATCCAAACAATTTATACTTCCTTATACTTCTGCAGTGGATAAGACTACTTACCGGGGGACTTTCCTGGCAGGCCAGTGGTTAGGACTCATGCTTCCAATGCAGGGGGCATGGGTTTGATCCCTGGTCGGGGGCTAAGAGCCCACATGCTGTGCAGCATGGCAAAAATTATTTTTAAAAATTAAAAATTAAAAAAAACCTAATTTCCATTTATCCATGTCCTCACCAATGTTTGGTTTGTCAAATTTTAATACTTGCTTTTCTGGTGGTGGTTAAGTGGCTCCTCACTGTGGTTTAAATTTTCATTTCCCTGGTTACCATTGATGAGTTTAAGCGCCTTTTCACATATTAGTTTGCCAGTTGTGTTTCTGCACATGTAAAATGCTGCTCTAATCTTCTGCTCATGTATCTATTGGGTTGTTTGTCTTTTTCTTATAGATTTATGGGACTTCTCTGTATATTCTGGATACTAAACCTCTGTCAGCTGTATGGGCCTTCACATATCTTCTCCCAATTTTTAGATTATTTTTCCACTTTCTCTGATGTTTTCGTCAACAGAAGGTCCCAATTTTAATATAATTTATCTGATCAACTTTTCCTTCATGATTTTCATTCTGTACCCTTTACAACTCCTCTGTCATGAATTTATTGTTATATGTGCTCTTCTAAAAGTGTTATGGTATTTTCTTTCTCAGTTAAGTTTTCGATCCACTTGAAGCTGATTTATGTGTAATGTTTTTTCATTTCATATGGAACTATGAGAATGACTATTAGTATAGTCCTTTCCTGTCAATTATACATTTGATGTTTTCTTTCTATATTCCAAAACTTAAATTTATGAAAGTTGATTTTGCAAATTTAGTGTGCATATTTTTCTGGTCCTTTTAGGCTATTTGAGATATCTATTGTGTTTACCAATACATATAAGCTTTCCCTTGAATCTTTGTGTTTTCAGCAAATCTGGTGCTTGCTTCTGAGTGAATGATGAAAAAGCTCCATCAGAACAGAATCCTGTGGCATGGCTCTCCAGATTGTTCTTCCAAGCTGAATTCTATTCACACATCAAAACTCTAGAGATGTACCTTTTAAAGCAGCTACAAATCCAGTAATCAATATCATCAACTTATTTCTTCTAGGTAATCTGTAGCAAATATTAAATACATTCCCCAACTCCCCACCACCACCACTGCAGAATCTAATGTGTCTGGCTACATCCCTCCACTGACCCTCAGGAAATTCAGATGCCTTTTAATATTGTATAGCCAGGGAGGTAAATCGAAATAATATGCTAGACCTTGTAGAATTATATATGCCATCACTAATACTCCCTTCCATTTGTGAATGTCATGGAGCTGTGTGTGTGCATGTGTGTGTGTGTGTGTGTGTGTGTGTGTGTGAGTGTGTGTTAATGTCTTTCCAGTAATTTATTTATGCAGAAGCAGATTGGTATTTGGTTAAAATTTTAGGCTCTAGAGAATAATTACCTGGGATCAAATTCTTACCCTCTACTTATACCTTTGTAACGTCAGGCAAGGAACCTATCCTCTTCACACTCTAGTGTCTCACTCTGAGCACAGACACTGTGATTGATCCTATCCTTAGGTTGTGGTTGGGCCTGGAGAATACAGGGACATGAGGATACACTGTCCCCCTCTCAGCTGCCTGCATGGGGCAGTGTTCCCACCCCTCCTCCAGCTTCACTATGTTTTACCCCTCCCCCAGAAGATTAGAGCTTCGCACTGCTTCAGTCTGATAATGTAAGGTGGGCAGAGAATGGGAGCCAGTCTCTAATCTGTATAATTGTGGGGCATGTTTGGTGGGGTTTAACTTATGCTCTGCCTAATTAGGGCTAAAACTGTTATATGCCATCACAAACTCCAGCTGAACATATATTCATGAAATTTGGGACTTATCGTATATATTATGTGGTAACTTACTGTTTTCAGATAACGCAACATGGTGAACCATTTCCTGCGTCATATTCTTGAATACCATTCTTAGTTTTGTTCAGAAAATATTTTCGTATTTTACTGTTAAAATTGCGTTAGGATGAATAGCCATTTCTTTAAATCTTAAATTTCTTAAGGTAAATACCAGGAGGTGGATTGCTAGATGATAATTATTTGCTCTCTTTTGTGAAGAATCTTTAATTCACTATAAGATCCAGACTGACCTAAGGATTTCACTTTTTAATCATTTCCTTCCTTAATTTGAATGAAAGAAATAGAGCTATTTTTAGCGTATGTGTCTGTGGACAAATCACCCTCGTTGCTTCCTGTTACATTGCATAACTTCAGGGATGCCATTCGTTTTTTATTCTATGTGTCCTTGAAGCCCCTCCATGACAGAACACATCTAGAGGTGACACCAGTTTAAATGGTCACCTCTTAAAGAGGACCTTTTCAACGGAGAGGGACAAAGCCAGTTTTGCTTTGGCAATTACTGGCATTTGATGAACATACACACACACACATACACACACACCGATATACACACACTTGCATATCATTTATTGGTACCTCTCTTATACTTCAGCCTCCTAAGTTATTTTCCAAATAAAAGGGCATCCGGAGAGGAAAACCTTAAACTGGCTGCTTTGGTTCGTGCCATCCAGATTGCTCCCAAAATAGAGATAATGAGGATATATGTAATGATTGTGTTTTGTTTCTTTTTCCATCTAAGATTGTGTCTTTATTGTTGTTCTTTCTTTTTTTTTTTTAACATCTTTATTGGAGTCTAATTGCTTTACAGTGGTGTGTTAGTTTCTGCTGTATAATAAAGTGAATCAGCTATACGTAAACATATATCCCCATATCTCCTCCCTCTTGCGTCTCCCTCCCTCCCACCCTCCCTATCCCACCCCTCTAGGTGGTCACAAAGCACCAAGCTGATCTCCCTGTGCTATGCGGCTGCTTCCCACTAGCTATCTATTTTACATTTGGTAGTGTATATATGTCCATGCCACTCTCTCAGTTCGTCCCAGCTTACCCTTCCCCTCTCCCCGTGTCCTCAAGTCCATTCTCTACGTCTGTGTCTTTATTCCTGTCCTGCCCCTAGGTTCTTAGAACCCTTTTTTTTTTTTTTTTTAGATTCCTATATATGTGTTAGCATACGGTATTTGTTTTTCTCTTTCTGACTTACTTCAGTATGTATGATAGACTCTAGGTCCATCCACCTCACTACAAATAACTCAATTTTGTTTCTTTTTATGGCTGAGTAATATTCCATTGTATATACGTGGCACATCTTCTTTATCCATTCATCTGTCAATGGACACTTAGGTTGCTTCCATGACCTGGCTATTGTAAACAGAGCTGCAATGAACATTGTGGTACATGACTGTTTTTGAATTAGGTTTTCTCAGGGTATATGCCCAGTAGTGGGATTGCTGGGTCGTATGGTAGTTCTAGTTTTAGCTTTTTAAGGAACCTCCATACTGTTCTCCATAGTGGCTGTATCAATTTACATTCCCACCAACAGTGCAAGAGGGTTCCCTTTTCTCCACACCCTCTCCAGTATTTATTGTTCGTAGATTTTTTGATGATGGCCATTCTGACTGGTGGGAGGTGATACCTCACTGTAGTTTTGATTTGCATTTCTCTAATGATTAGTGATGTAACGATTGTGTTTTATAAGTATATAATTTTATTCATGGTGTCTACCCTCAGGCATATGGGACGGTCTTGTAACTTGTGAATCTTTAAGGCTCACAGGAGTTCTTCCTCTTCTTCCTTGATGGGAATAATGAAAAGGGACCCAGCCTATAATATAAAAAAGGGAAGACAGAACCTGCCAAGTCATACCATGACAAAAGTGTCACTGTGGACGGATTCTGCCCTGGTTTTTTCAGGGGTCATAACAACACGTGATATTAATTTGATTGAAGAAAAACTTTTCTGTCCTCTACACCTGTGAGATCAAGAATGTCTGAATATAGAAACTTTAACCTCTATCCCATCATTCTTTTCTCTAGCTCTGCTATTTAAGTTACTTTATCTTGTATTAATTATTTTGTACTGTCTTCCTAAGTTCAACATTTCCTTAGGACCACGCAAACTTAAGTTTTATAAGTTTAACATTGGGATTGAGTTTTCTCATGTAACAGTCATTCATCTTTCCTGATGACAGTCTGTACCTTTATTCCCGTGTCTCCATTCAAAGAAGAAACTAAAAGGGAAAGAAGGTCAATAGGAAGTTACTGAATAAGAGGGATTCCAGGAGGGATTTGAGCTTGAGTCTTTGAGAATGAGACACTTCATGCTAATGTGGATAATTAGAGTGAGTTTCTTCCTAGTGAAAAATTTTAGCATCAACTTAAAAGAGAACTTTACCCCAAAGAGGAATCAACAATTACTGTCCCAAGGTTTCCTAGAGTTGAACCATGCCTTGCATATGTTTGATGCTGATACTGATGGAAAAGACCTGTATCCCTAATCACCATATCAAAACAGTAGATGAACAGCTCAAGGTCAAAATGAAAACAAACAAATAACCTTCAAACACAACCTTGTAGGAAAGATTGTAAGAGTTTTCACTATGAAGTTTTAAGGTAAAGTTTTGGACTTGGTCTGAAGTGACCAAAGAAAACATTTAATTACATCCTTTTATTTAGAGATTAAAAAACTGAAGGACAAGGAATTTAAGTGGCATGATGGCGATTACAAAGTTATGAAATGTGAAGTGGTCACATACTCTAGCAACATATGAGGACTGATTGATTGATCCCCAATTCATATATGACTTTTACCTTCTGGTATGTTTCTGAACTTTATATCCATGTGCTTTTCTGATATATATCTTTACCCTGCACTCCTGCACCTTATTTAAAGTGACAGTATTTGTGAGTATGATTCAAGTTAAGAGTTGAGTATTATCTTAGGTTGGTTGTCTGAAAAACAGACTCCAAGATTTGCCTGTGGGAGGCTTATTAGAGGATGCTCTTGGAAACACTTGAAAGGAGAGAGGGAAGCAGCTTGGGCAGAGGAAGAAGTTGAACCGCGGTGCAATTGTAATGGGGATGCAGCCAATCCCTCTGTTACTTTAGAGTTGGGATGGCTTCTAGTGGTCTCTAACTGAGGCAGGAGGGCTGGAACTTTGAACCTGTCCATACGAGAGTGTAACCTTGGGCAAGGCAGCTTCCTTCAGCCTTGAGCAATCCCAGAAGACAAACTCAGCTGTCAGCAGCCAATACTCCTGGAGGAATAAATGCTTTCCTTGTGGGGTTTGGGGATCTGGGTGGTGTTTTCCAGCCTCCAGTTCTGTTATTGTGATATTGTGATTCTGGCACCCAGGAAAATGCCCCTGAGTAGTCTTTTTTGGTCCAGGCTGGCACATAATTTAAAGAACTAAGCAGAGGGCCTTGTGTTTTGTTTTGCATTCAGCTACACTGAGAGTAAAAGAATAGAACTAGGAAAAGAACTTCTTAAGGAAGAGACAGATAGCAAGACTCAGTAAGGATGCCTGCATGTAGCGGAGCTGTACAAACAACCCCAAATTGCTACATCTTTAAGCAAGACATATGCTATATATTTACCTCCTGTTGATCCACGTGGTTTTTATCCTGCTGGTCACTGAGCTGTACTTCTTCATATTGCCACGAGGGGGCAGTGTTTTATAATCTTTAGAGCTTTGGCTCTGGCTTCACAAGGCTGAAGTTCCAACCCTATTACTGCTACTCATTAGTTGTATGATTTGGGGCCGGTCACAAAACACTTCTAAGCCTCTATTTTCTCATCTATAAAGTGGGGGTAATAGTCATGCTTACTTTGCACAGTTAGGATTATTAATTTAAACCATACTTGTATGTTCCCAGGTCGGTGAGTGGCTCAGAGAGAGCCCATCACCCAGGCCAGGAGTTTCTATGAAAACCTTGTCCTTCTCATATGTATGACAATCCTTAGCCAGCATACTGTGTTATGTTTCAAGAAAAGGCAAAGGAAGGAAGATGTAGTGAGCTGGATGATGGACTAAGATCAAGTGTGAGAATGGAGATAAGCTTAAAAATAGCTACTTTTATCCAACAACATGTAGGGGGAAGCTGCAGCTGGTATTTGGACACTATAGTTTCATTGAGGTTGGGGCTTGGTGGAGGGACATCGTTGCCTTTTTGGAAGCATATGTTTGGGGATATAATTGGGAAAACCAGTGTGAAACTTTAGGTCATTTCCTTGACATTATGAAACAATAAACATCAGGCCCAGCTGACTCATGAGGCTCCTAGTACCTGGTGTATCTTCATCCCATGATTCTAAGGCATGTACAGTGGCCACATGGCCAGGAAGATGTAGGATCCAGGTGTCAGAGACACAACTTTTATGTCCCACATATACACACATCATTCCATTTTCCAGAGCCCATTCAATCACCCCAGAACCTCAGCTATGCCTGATAATGTCAAAGTAACCCTATGCTTTTTCTATCCCTCCTCCCCTTCTTCCTGCCTACTTGATGTCCCAATTAGGGTCACTCTCCTGGCTTATCACCAGTTGCATTAACTTTTTCTATCATTTTGTAATTTTCCATCATCCACTGTGGTAAATGAGAAGTAGGAAAGGGACAAGAGTAAATTGGAACATTTCCAATTATGCAGGAAACCTCAGGGATCAAAGGACCACTTAGCACTGAAGAAATGTACCCAACTGTGCTGCATGTCACTATTAAATTCAAAAACAGACTCTTGAGAATGAAGAGAAAGCCTGCAGTTGCTTTTCATAACACACAAATGGTTTGACAGGTTATTACCATTAAAAATTCATTAATAAATGATTAATATAAATGTTGGAATATAAATACCAAAATCACCATCCTGATCCCCCTGTTTTTGTCTTCAGGTGCCCTTCTGCAGTTCAGCACGAGGACGGTTCCTTCAGGCAGGCTTCCCATAGATATTGAAAGGTTAACTTACTATCAGGTATGGTGATCATTTTTATTTTTTTATCACAACCTCACCTGACTACCATCACCCCTGAATCAGCCTTGTCCCTAATATTGTCAGTATTTATGAAATTGACTAGATGTAGGGGTCAAGGAAGAGGGAAGAATTGGAGATGACTATGAGGTTTGGAGCCTAGGTCACTGAGAGGATTGTGGTTCCATTAACAGTAAAAGCAGAATCAGAAAGAGATGGTACTTAGGGGCCCAAGATAATCACTGATTTAGCATATGTTGAGTGTGAGTTTTTCATTATACATTTGGATAGAAATGACTTTTAGGGTGGCAGGTTTGTGGAGGATCTGGGTCCTTTGGGTTTGGAATTATTTTTTACACAAGTGCCTGAGAATCCCATATTTAATGAATGTGCATTGGAGTCTTACTCGATTCCAGTCCCAGTGTTGATTTTTTTTTTCTTTTGTTTTTAAACAAGACAGATTCAGTTTCTACCCCTACAGCATTTATATCTCAGGGAGGAAGGCAGATATTAGGCCTTAAACAATATGATGACAGTGATAATATTATTAATATCAGTGATGATATTAATAATAATGCACAGTGTTTGCCAAGTGCTTTCTGTCTTTCAATTACTATGCTTAGTGCCTTAAGTACTTGAACTTTTTAAATTTTCACAGCACCTGCATGGATTAGGCACTGTCGGTCTCCAGTGGGGTAAGAGACTTTCCCAAGCTCACACAGGTGGTGGAGCGGGAATTCTAACTTTGTGCAGAGCCAGAGCCCAGGCACTTCTTCGCACAATGTCAATATATGGGAAGTCCTGGGTTTTATGGGGATGGACAGTTGGAGTACTTAACCCAAATTTAGGCTGGGAGGACTTGAAAATAATTTTGGAGAAAGTGAAATATAAAGAGAGATCTGGAGGTGAATAGGAATTAACCAAATGAAGGACGAGGGTGAAATGGAGGGCAGGTATGGTCAGGGTAGCCTGAGCTTAGTCTATCGGGACAGAGGGATGTGGGGAAAGGCCTGGCCACAGAGCATTATGGATAAGATGACCAGGGAGAGAACAGAAAGATGACCACACACCACGAACAAAGGGCCCGTGTTCACAAGGTAGGAAGAGAAGGAGGCCCTGAGAATATGATTTAGAAGCTGGAAGAGCCTTAGGATCGACTCTCAGGCTTTTATTATTGCCTCGCTTGTGTTACATTTTTACCTGCTGTCTGTTTCAGGTTATTGTGACTCAACGTAAACAGGGGAAACCAGACTAAAATTATGGAATGAGGGGTAAATGGAGGAAATGACTAATTACCTAATGACTGGTTTCTAGAAGGGTTTGCTGGGTCTGAACCCCACCCTTCTTGAAACACTCTCTGTCTTGCCTTCCAGAACCGCGCCAGCTGTTGCTTCTTTTCCATCCTGCTCTGGCCTTTCTTTGTAAGTCTCCCTTGCTGACTCTTCCTCTTCTGCCCAGCCACTTCCTGTCTGAGCTCTCTGTGGCTCCAAGGCCCACACTGTCTTCACTCAGCATGACGATCTCATCCTGTTCTACAGCATCGATTGCCGTCTGTATTCTGATGCTGTCCATTTTATTATCTGGAGTTCTGACCTTTCATCTAAGCTCCAGGGTCATCTATGCAATTAAATCTCCATTTACATCTCACAGGAACCTCAAACTCAAGACTTCTAGCACTCAAGCCACGTCTCTTCACCTGTCCTGATGTACCCCACCTCCAGTGCTCTTATTCTCTGTAACGACCCCCCCATCATTCACCCCATCATTCACCTATGCTCTTGAGCCAGAAATCCGTGAATGATGAATGACTCCTATGTCTTTTGAATGGGTTTACAGCAGACGTGTCATATTCGCGGTTGCCCAACATCTTTTAAATAATTCACATGTAACAATTCCCACCTCCCAACTCAGAATTCAGACTCTCAAGTTCTCTTGCAGCCCAGCTGGATACATGTGGCATAGGTTTGCCCTGTCACCTGCTTCCAAATGAGGCTTGATTTGGAAGTCCTCAGCAGGAGAACCAGGATGCACATGGGGCTTCCCTCTTGCTGATACAGCTGTTTCCAAAGATGTGTGGGTTTTAGGCGAATGCAGCAACCTAAAGGTCAGCTTCCTGATATGGAAGTGGCATTCGTACTGCAGATTTCGTGAATAAGGTGAAGTCAGGTCTTGACGTCTTGTGTGCAGTGGCAGAAGCACTGAGCTTGCTCATTCAGAGCAGTTTTGCTGCCTGGCTTGGAGTGTGTGAATATGGGTGGGGTAAGGAGGTATGCAAAGCATGCGGCATTTTTTGTTTGCGTGAGTTTAGACTTGATTTTGCTCCTTCAGCCTTCCCAATGATCTGAGAGGTTACTATCCTTTAATAAAGCCCCTCCAATTCATTAAATCATCACATTGTACAACAAATTGAAAAAAAAGTACAACTAGCCATAGTCGATTGTGTTATTTGCAGTAAGAATCTTGAACAGTCTGAAGTTGTTGCTTCCTCTCTGGTAGAACATTTATCTGTGTGTTGAGCTGTGTGAGAGCTGAGGGGAAGGATGTGGTGAGAAAGACCTAGAAACGGTGGTTGTGGGTGAGTGCAGAGCCTGCCCCTCTAGGGTTTCTTTATTTGATCTGTCTGTACTCCTAAAAAAAAGGCTTTCTGTATATTGGTGTGTCAAGTCTATAAATTATGTGCAGATATTCCATAAGGCAGGGCAGAGTGATAGAAAGGAAATGGGCATTTAACAGAAAATAACTGAGTTTAAATTCTGTCTCCACCACTGACTAGCTGGGTACCCTTGAACAAGAGCCTTAACGCCTTTCAGTTTCAGTTCCCTCATCGATGAGGTGTGGTTAATGTATTTACACATAGTGTGTTGTGCGGTTACATGAGATAACCTATGGAAGGCCCTACCACTTAAAGGCTAGTGATAAAGGTTAGCTCTCTGTGCCAGAGGCAATCAGGGACCCCAGGGAATAAATGACTTGTGGACTCTACATGGACAGTCCTTGAAATGGACTATTCCATTCTGCTGACCTGGGATTCTATTTTTTGTATTCCCACTTATTGAAATCTGATTCTTTCTGATAGGACCAGCCCAAATGCCCTTTTTCCCTAATGGAAACTTCCCAAATTCTCTTAGCTGGAAGTAGTTAATTCTACTTATAAAATACTATTATATCTTAATGTAGGTTGTGTTTGAAATTTTGTGTAAAATTAATAGATCCTTAGGATAAGCAAGTGGAAAGATTCTGATACTTTAATCAGCATCTAGTAGAGCCCCTTATGTTTTAATTTAATCTTTTAACGTTTTTTATTATTTATTAATTGAAATATAGTTGATTTACAATGTTGTGTTAGTTTCAGGTGTACAGCACAGTGATTCAGAATATATATATATGTACATGTATATATACACACACACACACACACACACACACATATATATATATATATTCTTTTTCAGATCCTTTTCCCTTATAGGTTATCACAAACTATTGAGCAGAATTCCCTGTGCTGTACAGTAGATCCTTTCTGGTTATCTGTTTTATACATAGCAGTGTGTGTATGTTAATCCCAAGCTCCTAAATTATCCCTCCCCGGGAATAATTGGTAACCACAAGTTTGTTTTATATGAAACCCTTTTTCTCGTACATTGTGAGAGCCCCACATCTCACAAATACATGTGATTCCTTCCTTCCATTTCCCCAATACAGTCATTTCAAAATTTTTCAAAAAATTTTTGGCCAAATCAATGTTTGGTATTTTATATTGCTATGACTATGTAAATAAAACTCACAGGTAAGCTATATACTGTATTGTGTTCCTTCCTTATGTGTCTTTAATGTTTTTCTGAAGTCAATGACATTTCTTTAATAGTTTGTTCAACTTTTTATGCCCTGGTCCCTAGGACTTTCTAAACTGCCAAAATTGTAAAATTCCCCTCAAAGCAAACTCACTTACTTTATAAGGGCCACTCACCACCTGCAGCACAGGCAGACCCCCTCCTTCCCGCACCCCCCGCCACTCTTTCTTTGGTCAGGAGTCCTCCTTGAGTTCCGTGTCCACCCCTTCCATCTGGACAAGCTGCTCTGCTCTCCAGCTCTGCACGAGTCAAGGTTCAGGGACCTCTCTTCATCGTTGTCCTGGGGATTCCCTGAACAATTTTGTTCCTTCCTTATACTTATGTGTAATTAATTGTCAGCTGGGTATAGAATACCAGGCTAAAAATTGTTTGCCTTCAAGTGGTAAAGCGATTGCACCCCCCTCCCATCCGCCGTGTCTTCTAGCTTCTGGTGCTGCTGTCAAGAAGGCCATGCCATTATATACAATGGAATATTACTCAGCCATAAAAAGAAACAAAATTGAGTTATTTTTAGTGGGGTGGATGGACCTAGAGTCTGTCATACAGAGTGAAGTAAGTCAGAAAGAGAAAAACAAATAACATATGCTAACACATATATATGGAATCTAAAAAAAAAAATGGTCATGAAGAACCTAGGGGCAAGATGGGAAGAAAGACTCAAACCTACTAGAGAATGGACTTGAGGATACAGGTAGGGGGAAGGGTAAGCTGGGACAAAGTGAGAGAGTGGCATGGACATATAGACACTACCAAATGTAAAATAGATAGCTAGTGGGAAGCAGCCGCATAGCACAGGGAGATCAGCTCGGTGCTCTGTGACCACCTAGACGGGTGGGATAGGGAGGGTGGGAGGGAGACACAAAAGGGAGGAGATATGGGGATATATGTATATGTATAGCTGATTCACTTTGTTATAAAGCGGAAGCTAACACACCATTGTAAAGCAATTATACTCCAAAAAAGATGTTAAAAAAAAAAAAAAGGCCATACCATTCTTATTCCTAATCCTTGGATGTGATCTTTTTTTTTTTTTTTTCTGGAAGCTTTAAGACTTGCTCTCTCCTTGTTGTTTTGTGATTTTAAAATAATGTGCTTTTATATATGTTGTCCCCCCCCCCATTCAGCAAGCTAGATGTTAGTTCTTTGATAACTTCCTTTTCTTTATTGTCTTGGTTCATTCTTGCTTGGGCATCTATTATATATAACCACCTTGAGCTGGTTAATATTCACCCAAGCATAAACCTCTACACTTATTTTCTCTCCGTTTTCTCCGTCTCATTGTCTTCTAGGGATACACTGAAAAGAAACTCCTCAAATTTATCCTCCACCACTCTATTAAATTTAAATTTTTTCTGCTATCACATTTAAAAGACACATCTCTAAAAACTCTTCTGTTAATTTCTTTATTTTTTCACATTTGTTAGCATGATCTTTTTATTTCATTGATACAATGCCTTCTATCTCTGATGACTCTCTCTCTCTCTCTCTCTCTCTCTCTCTATATATATATATATATATATATATATATATAAATATGTAGTTTTCTTCTCCCTCATCCTTTGTCTCTGTTTATTTTAAGTTCCTTTCTCTGCATGTTTTGTTCTTTTTCACATTAGGGGTTTTTCTGAACGTGATTCATGTCTGTTTACTCATATTTAAGACTAAAAAGAGCACACATACACAAACTGTAAAAGTTACCTTTTTTTGTAAAAATGCTTAAGATTTACTCTCTTAGCAAATTTCAAGTATACAATACAGTATTATTAGCTATAGTCACCATGCTGTACATTAGATCCTTAAATCTTACTTATTGTTAAATATTTGTTGAATTAAAAAAAGTAGATAGAAGAATTTTCTTCCAAGCATGCAAAAACAAGAGAGTGATTGGCTGTCTGTGCATGTGTGTGTACATGCATGTATGAGAGTGCATGCATGTATGTGTATGTATACGTGTATGTGTGTGTGTGTGTGTGTGTGTGTGTGTGTGTTTGGGTAATAAAAGCCAAACCTAAAGTCTGAGAAGAATATTATTCAGCTGAATTGCCAAAACCAGAGACTGATGTTAATCTGCACTCTTGAGTCCCTTGGTTATTCTAATTTCCTCTAATGCTGAATCCCACTGAATTTCCAAGCCAGCCGTGACCATGGCATGAAGTAACTAGCTCACTCCTCAGAGGAGTCTAGAATTTGTCTTGCTGCCATAGAACCAGTAACACACATACTAACTGTGCTGACATTTCCTACTCCCTTCCTATCTCTCCTCTCTAGCTGAACTGTCTTGGTTTGCACAACTGAGTGTCTGCCTCTATTTCCATGCCATACGTTTCATCCTCCTGAGAGTGAAATTCTGTAAACCTTAACTAGGTTGGCAAAGTTAAGGTTTTTTAGCATTCCTTTGCTTTGTCTATTAAAATACCAACTGCACAATATGAATTATGGAGCATTGCTCTGAACTGTGTTTATTGATAACAGTAATCTGTGTGTTGTATACTGGAGTCTCAACTGAGAACATTACTCCACATGAATTGATTATAAGAAAAGGGGCAGGAAAATGTTCTGAATTATGGCCATTCCTCCCATGTGTCCACTGCCCTCTGATCCCTGGAGTGGGACCTCCCGACCTCCCTAAAGTTCCTCTTTACGCATTACCTTAACACCAGCTCCATGCATCCACATAACAGCAACTAAAACCTGTGACAGAAAACAGTGAACACACACAGGCGTTTCTGGACCTCACTCCAGATCCTCTTTGCTTTTTCCTGATTTACTCCTACTTTGGTGAAGTTATTCAGAGGGTTTCATATCCAGACTTCAACTATCCCTTCCATCACTCTAGTTTGTATGAAAGTAATTGACTTTCTTCTCTTTAGAAGACCTCGGATTATCTACGAACATTAGCTGTTTTAGGACCCATTTGCAGTCATGATCTCACTCTACTTGCAGATCAGCTGGTGAGTAGCCACTATGAGGTCTGCTGGCTGGTGCCATTTATTTGACATCTCAGGGCGTACGGTACTCCGGAAGGCATCCACTGTCCTTCACAGAAATAACACCGTAGACGGAAAGGTTTATCAGGCCCCTCTGATTCCAGAGGTTCAGTGTTCTTCCAGAATTTGCAAGGTTTCGAAGCTGTCATGATATAAGCCCACTAGCCACTTGTGTTTACCTTTGACTAATGCAGAAAGCATGATGAGTAAGCATGAAGTTAATCAGTGAGGTTAAGTAGCTGGTCATAGTCAAGAGGGCCACTAATATCACATTTCTTTCTACATAATCTGAGGAAGGATTCACATATTTGTAACGACCTTCTACTTCTGTCAAGCTCCAGGTGTGTCAGTCATTAACTGGGTGAATGTTTTAGGTACTATTTAAACCAACAGCTATTTTATAGAAAACTCACCCCCTTCCAGGAGTTTCAGTCAAAAAGAGTAGAGATAGAGGGTTCTTCCAAGATCTCCTCTTGCCACTGCTACTCTGAGAACAGGAAGTAAGGGATAAGTGGCCAGATGGCTTACCTTACTTCTTGTATATTTGAGAGTCATTCAAGGGAATATAGTTTTCTAATGACCCTCATGTAAGTCTGCTGGATAACAGAGTTCTAATGTTGGAACTCTTTTCATCTACTGACATTTATAATAAAAAAATTTTAAGTGTAACTTTGCCATAATTTTTCATTTTGATTAAGATATTTACAGGAAATAAACCGTTTATTTTCTCTGACTAATGAAACTGAAAGCTAAGAACATTGGTGGGAGGAGTCTCAATACTGTTTCCTAACTTCTCTCTCTCCCCGGGAAAGCACCGTATGAGGAAGCCAACACTAAATCAAGTTTTTGTATAGCCAGTGCCTTTTTCCTTGTTGTCTTTCAAAATACTTCTTTTTCCTCTGCCCTTCAGGAGATTATAAAATTCTGAAGTTCAGTCTCTGAGAGCTTTACTGATTTATCGTCCTACTTAAGCAAAATAAGCAGTGATTCTTGCGTATCTAAAGAAAACCTCAACATCTAGACTACTGTGGAGGACGTTTTCACTGAGGTAAGACTGGTAAGGATTTCTTTAGAGAGCTGTGGGTACCTGGTTGGTAGCCTCAAGGTGAGAAGGGGAACTTTAGTCATGAAGAATTTGGGAAGAAATGTTTTATATCAACTATACTCAGAAAAGTGAAAACAGCAGTAGCTTGATTCTAATCCTTTACTGCCTAGGCAAATAATAGACATTTTATTCCACTACAACTGAAGCCTGAACAAAGGGAGATGCATTTTGACTATAGAAGATATTAAAATGTATTCCCCAGGCAACTATCGGCATGAGCTATATTTAGAGCAAAGGTTTGGTTTCCTTCCCTGGAAGATGCACAGGAAACTTGGTGGCTGTGGTGGGGGCCTCGGTGAGAGTCAAGATAGGGGCATGATAAAAGTATCATAAAATAATATTGAGTAAAAAAATACATCTGGATATAAAAGTGTATTGTATGGCATTGTGATAATTTTAGAAAACACACACACACAGAGAAGAGCAGACAAGTTTCAATTCCACAAGTACAGTTATACAAAACATGGCTTCTTTACCTCTCTTAAGACAGTTTACTTTTTCTTTTAGACTCCATTTTATACCAGCTCAGTGTTGTTATTTCAGTTTCTTTTAGGATTCCTTTCTGCCTTCCTGAAAATTAATACTTTTTTTTTTCTGGTGGCAAGGCATAGGAGAGAGGCAGAGAGAGGCAATTACAAATAGATTTCTATTGTCTACTTTTAGAATTGTTTAAAGACTTTCTGTATGGCCTGATACAGTAATATTTTATATGTGCTTGACTAGAATATAAGATTTTTAATATTCATTTCAGAATCTTATGTATGTTAGATAAATGCTGTTAATTACACTTATTATATTTACTTTTAATAGGCAAATACACAATTAAAACTGTTGTATTTCCCTAGGAGGTGGACGTTTTATCATTGTGTTGTGCTCTGATGATACTTCTTATCTTCAGATCTATTTAAAACCACAGTAATATAGATAAACTGGTTTTCTTTTACTTACTCTTTGCATGATAAATATTTTACTTTTCCACCTTTAAGTGATCTTTTGTTAACAATACATTGCCAGATTTCTTAAATCCAAGTTGACCAATTTGTCACTTAAGCTTAACCGGTTAGAACCTTTATGCTGATAATTAACATATATTGTCTTGTATCTGCTTTCTTCATTTCAATTTATGATACTTCTATATTCTCCTTTTTTGATTTGTTTTTTACTTATACCCCTATCTGACTTACCATTTAAGACAAATACATTAGTGAACTGTCATATTCTTTGTCCTCCCTCTCTCCCTCCACCATGTTGATATACTTCCTGCTTCTCTTCTCTTCAGTCAGGGCTTTATTTATTTTTAAGGCATAGACACACCTAATCAAGTTAAGTTTTCACCCTTACTTACCTTTCAGCTTACAGTTTTTCTTGACTTTATACATTAATTTTTAGTGACTATTATTTCCAATAGATGTTTCCATGTGGGTCTTTGTCTGCCAAAACTACCAATGCCTCGAATACAATAGTGTTTGAGGCCCTCATATTTAAGTATCATTTAGACTAGATTAAAAATTCTACTCTAAAAATTATTTTCCCCTCAAGATAGATGGGGAGTACCTCTTCTCTTACCCCTGGGACTAGATATGTTGTGAAATTCACAATCTAGAAACTTCAGAGAGGCTATTTAATGAATCTAAATTATTATCTGGGGAAAGGGAGCTAAGGTCTGCATTTTATATTTTTTTCTTCCAGTTTTATTGAGACATAATTGACATATGGCACTGTATGAATTTAAGGTGTGCAGCATAGTGATTTGATTTATATCCATTATGAAACGATAAGCATAATAAGTTTAGGCAACATACATCATCTTATATAGATACAAAATTAAAGAAGTACAAAAAAATTTTCTTTTCCTTATGAAGAGAACTCTTAGGATATACTCTCATAATAACTTTCATATATAACATACAGCAGTGGTAATTATATTTATCATGTTGTACATTATATCCCTAGTACCTATTTATGTTATAAAAGAAAGTTCTCACCTTTTTCCTGACTTCATCCAATTCCCTTTCTTCTCACAGTTTACCACAAATCTAATTTCTTTTCTATGAGTTTGTTTGTTTGTTTGTTTGTTTGTTTTTGCAGTATAACTGACCTACAACATTGTGGTAGTTCCTGTTATGCAATATAGTGATTATTTCTTTCTTTCTTTTTTTTTTTTTTACATCTTTATTGGAGTATAATTCCTTTACAATGGTGTGTTAGTTTCTGCTGTATAACAAACTGAATCAGCTATACATATACATATATCCCCATATCTCCTCCCTCTTGCGTCTCCCTCCCTCCCACCCTCCCTATCCCACCCCTCTAGGTGGTCACAAAGCACTGAGCTGATCTCCCTGTGCTATGCGGCTGCTTCCCACTAGCTATCTATTTTACATTTGGTAGTGTATATATGTCCTTGCCACTCTCTCAATTCGTCCCAGTTTACCCTTCCCCCTCCCCGTGTCCTCAAGTCCATTCTCTATGTCTGCATCTTTATTCGTGTCCTGCCCCTAGGTTCATCAGAACCATTTTTTTTTTTTAGATTCCATATATATGTGTTAGCATACAGTATTTATGTTCCTCTTTCTGACTTACTTCACTCTGTATGACAGTCTCTAGGTCCATCCACATCACAACAAATAACTCAATTTCCTTTCTTTTTATGGCTGAGTAATATTCCATTGTATATATGTGCCACATCTTCTTTATCCATTCAACTCTCGATGGACATTTAGGTTGCTTCCATGTCCTGGCTATTGTAAATAGAACTGCAATGAACATTGTGGTACATGACTCTTTTTGAATTATGTTTTTTTCAGGGTATATGCCCAGTAGTGGGATTGCTGGGTCATATGGTAGTTCTATTTTTAGTTTTTTAAGGAACTCCACACTGGGCTCCATAGTGGCTGTATCAACTTACATTCCCACCAACAGTGCAAGAGGGTTCCCTTTTCTCCACACCCTCTCCAGCATTTATTATTTGTATATTTTTAACATCTTTATTGGAGTATAATTGCTTTACAATGGTGTGTTCGTCTCTGCTTTATAACAAAGTGAATCAGTTATGCATATACATATGTTCCCATATCTCTTCCCTCTTGTGTCTCCCTCCCTCCCACCCTCCCTATCCCACCCCTCTATGTGGTCACAAACCAGTGAGCTGATCTCCCTGTGCTATGAGGCTGCTTCCCACTAGCTATCTATTTTACGTTTGGAAGTGTATATATGTCCATGCCACTCTCTCACTTTGTCACAGCTTACCCTTCCCCCTCCCCATATCCTCAAGTCCATTCTCTAGTAGGTCTGTGTCTTTATTCCTGTCTTACCCCTAGGTTCTTCATGACCTTTCTTTTTTTATTATTTGTAGATTTTTGATGATGGCCATTCATTTCTCTAATGATTAGTGATGTTGAGCATTCTTTCATGTGTTTGTTGGCAATCTGTATATCTACTTTGGAGAAAAGTCTATTTAGGTCTTCTGCCCATTTTTGGATTAGGTTGTTTGTTTTTTTGATATTGAGCTGCATGAGCTGCTTGTAACTTTTGGAGATTAATCCTTTGTCAGTTGCTTCATTTGCAAATATCTTCTCCCATTCTGAGGGTTGTCTTTTCGTCTTGTTTATGGTTTCCTTTGCTGTGCAAAATTTTAAGTTTCATTAGGTCCCATTTGTTTATTTTTGCTTTTATATCCATTTCTCTAGGAGGTGGGTCAAAAGGATCTTGCTGTGATCTATGTCATAGAGTGTTCTGCCTATGTTTTCCTCTAAGAGTTTTATAGTGTCTGGCCTTACATTTAGGTCTTTAATCCATTTTGAGTTTATTTTTGTGTATGGTGTTAGGTAGTGTTCTAATTTCATTCTTTTACGTGTAGCTGTCCAGTTTTCCCACCACTACTTATTGAGGAAACTCTCTTTTCTCCATTGTATATTCTTGCACCTTTATCAAAAATAAGTTGACCATATGTTTATGGGTTTATCTCTGGGCTTTCTATCTAGTTCCATTTCCTATATTTCTGTTTTAATTCCAGTACCATAGTGTCTTTTTTTTTTTTTTTTTGCGGTACGCGGGCCTCTCACTGTTGTGGCCTCTCCCGTTGTGGAGCACAGGCTCTGGACGCGCAGGCTCAGCGGCCATGGCTCACGGGCCCAGCCGCTCCACGACATGTGGGATCTTCCCGTACTGGGGCACGAACCCGTGTCCCCTGCATCGGCAGGCGGACTCTCAACCACTGCACCACCAGGGAAGCCCCATAGTGTCTTGATTACTGTAGCTTTGTAGTATAGTCTGAAATCAGGGATCACGGTACCTCCAGCTTTGTTCTTCTTTCTCAAAATTGTTTTGGCTGTTTGAAGTCTTTTGTGTTTCCATACAAATTTTAGATTTTTTTGTTCTAGTTCTGTGAAAACTGCCATTGGTAGTTTGATAGGGATTGCATTGTATCTGTAGAGTGCTTTGGGTAGTTTAGTCATTTTAATAATATTAATTCATTCAATCCATGAACATTATATCTTTCCATTTTTTTGTGTTGTCTTCAATTTCTTTCATCAGTGTCTTATAGTTTTCCAAATACAGTTCTTCTACCTCCTTAGTAGATTTATTCTTAAGCATTTTGTTCTTTTTGATGTGATTATAAATGGGATTGTTTTCTTAATTTCTGTTTTTGATAGTTCATTGTTAGTGTATAGAAATGCAACAGATTTCTATATATTAACTTCATATCCTGCAACTTAAGTGAATTCATTGGTGAGTTTTAGTAGGTTTTTTGTGGTGTCTTTAGGATTTCCTATGTATAATATAATTTCATCTGCAAACAGTAACAGTTTTAATTTTTCCTTTACAATTTGGATTCCTTTTATTTTTCTTTGTTTCTAGTTTGATTGCTGTGACTAGGCTTCTAATACTATGTTAAATAAAAGTGGTGAGAGTGGGCATCCTTGTCTTGTTCATGTATATAT